AATGCTCAACGATTGACTGTTTAATGTAGATTATAGAACGTTATACGTAAGCTTACTGTTAACTCAAACAATCGTGACAATCGCATCAATAGAATCTGCGCGAGAAGTCGGCAAAGGGTCAATCAGTGTATACTGGTACTTACAAAATTATACTATTAATAGTAAGCTTATTGACAGTAGTCGACAGCCGCGAGGATGCCTTTGGCAAGAACTTTAGCTACAAAAACGCAATAAAGAAATGTTGAATATGAAATTGTAGCGCTGGGAAGACGCTAAAAAACTATAAAACAAACAGGTCTTGAAACAGCATACACGCTCAGATATGATACCGCAAAAGTTTAAAACCTTTCGAATCTCACTCTATTATCAAATAAACTCTTGCATATAATACTAACAATTGAGAGACAGCCAAAAATACAATAAAACTTCAATCATTACACATGCAAACTCACACTGGCTCTGATACTCGACACCAGCCTCACATACCAACGATGCCCACTGATCCCCACCAACCAAGCGGCATCGAACGAGCCATCGAGTTTGTGAAGCGTTCGCGCTCCCGATACGTGTCAAAGAACGAGATACTCGACATGCTAATGGTAAACGCACAGCTTCGCAAAGAAGGTACCGCTGCAGCCAGCAGCACAGCCGCCCGCTATCTACGGCGCAAGGAACAGTTGGTCTAACAGGTTTGGAAAGAGTTTGTCGACAAGGGCACCACAACGACCAAGCCCCAAGCGTCGCCCGACATGTTCCTCCGCACAAGGCTTCCTCTGACGACCAAGTAGTAACGACTCGAGTGGAAAAGAATCAGAGATGTAATAGATTTCCTCGATTTTTATTGGTCGCTTTTTAACATCCAGCTTTATTGTGGAAAACTCAGTAAACCTCCTTGTTTTGATTCTTTTTTGGCAGGCACCCTCGCGGCTGTCGACTACTGTGAAGAGCTTACGCGTACCGTACAGTACCGGTACCGTAATTTTTGGGAAGCTCTTCAGATCATTGAGGCCTCTAATTGGCTAGACAAGGTTTCAGATCGCGGCGATAAGTGGTACCATATCAGATAGGCATGCAATACCTATCCAATTTTAAATATCTACCCGTGGGTACTTGAAGTTAAAATAGCTGGCACCCA